AAACTACCTCCGTGTGTCGATCAAAAAATACCGTTGCGTGTACATCCTTCAAATATGCTCCGTCACCATGCAATTATATACCACATAATCATAAAATCATAATACATACTCATACATCACACTTACTTTCACCATGGAACTACCATGCTTTTACCGTAAACCTTAGGTCTATGTTTTTACTCAGACACTCTTACCATATATGGACACAACCCCGAGTGTGTTATCCAATCAGAATCAATGGGGATTCCTCTCCGCCGCATCCAACTGTTTATTTACTTAAATTTGAGTTTGAAGTACGATTACACAGTAGGGCTTTTGACCGTAGATGCACGGAATGTTTTTGTAGTAGTAATACTAGTAGAAGTACACGATTGAAGTTACATTTGTAACAACATATTTCCGTGCGTACTTCATCAAACTCGTATGTGTGTGGGCGGGGAAATATTTCTTGTAAAGTTCGTCGATGTGTGAATCACATTTCAGGGTGGGCGTGGTCGTTGAATTGATAAGATAGAATAACCACGCTGTTTTTAGATCCCCATTCCTGAAACCATGGAAGGTAAATGCTGAAACCAACATGCGTATGTCGATGAGAAATATCAACTTCTTTAAATCAGTAACTATCTTTCGGATGATTTGATTTTAAATTTAAAGTTTAATCTTGAGTTCAGAACAATATATATCTGACTCTCTCTGCCATATGGAAATCACATCATATCATCCTGATATTGAAGATTGCATGACAAGCCGCCGGTCTTGTGACATGTTTCAGAAATCGTTGTTGTTCTGTGCATCTAACAATTGTGGAAACCCCGGGTGAAACTAATAGAGTATGGACACGTAATACCGGAAATTCGGAATGCCGACGCCCAAGGAAACCAACAAAACAGAAAAAATACGAGATTATCAATATATTATAAAAAAAAGAGAATTATAGAAAGCAATGACGCCCACTGAAACCAACAAAACAGAAAAAATACGAGATTATCAATATATTATAAAAAGAGAATTATAGAAAGCAATAAAATTGCCAACGCTAGGCCAGGCTATATAGAAAGATTCGTTGGGCTATACCTGCATTGTGACGTCATTGTCACATGGAGGTCAATAACCCCTTGCCAGGTAATTATAAAATATACAGTGGCGGATGCAGCCGAACGAACGCAACATTCAATTTAATTATCTATGAGTAAAGGCGCCGACGAACTAGCGTTACATGGAAGTGGTCACGTACTTCTATCATCACGCCTGGTGGAAGTCTTTTTTTCTTCCAATTCCAACGAAATTGCATAATTGCCGCAAAATATATGCACTATAACGTATATCACATTGTAAATTAATGGTTAATTAATAAATGTTCAGGTGCGAACGACCTAAAGATACAAATAAATAAATTGACTTTACTTCGTAAATATTGGTTTCGTTTGTACTAGTATCATTGACGCGGGTGAAAATATAATACTTATACGATCTTTTTAAGACACGCCCTAAAACATATCGTTATCTGCATAACAATAAACCCTGGCTTTGCACGCGGCACGCTTATCACACATGTCGGCTTGGACTGTAGGGGTCATCGACGCGTAGACGAAGAATTGTCTCTCGAATCACGTATGTAATGTGCATAACATTTAGGATTGAATTCATCAGATCACACTAGGACACGCTTAAATTCAAACCTGACATAGATCGGCCACTGTACTTTGGAAACCTGCCCAAATTTATGAGCATAAAGAACGCCGTTTATTCGTGACACAGCTGATTTACAACTGGGACGGACGATGGCGAGCATGGAACCCGACGAACCTGAGGTGGCTATGCCAGATTCAATCCGACAGATCGACACTAGTTTCAAGAGGGTAAAGTACTGTTATATATATATTTAGATGTTCTTGGGCGTGAAGAACTATAGTTCAAAAGCGCTGCATGTGTGCTGGCCGTCATTCGGACACCCATCGCCATGGTTGGGAAAGGGCGGGCCGCCATCGTTGTAAAACATGTCAGGCCGCTGCTGCGTCTGATCGTTTCAAGTAGGGCTGGGAAAAACGGTGACGGTTCATCGGGTTGATAATATTATTATACATGGATGGAACCACGCTTCGTTTGCATCGCTGATAACTGACATAAACCACAATAATTTGAAAGCGATACTTCCGTCGTTGAGCTTCCGAAAGGACGTCGATTTTTTCCCTCGTGATATAATACAGGATTACCAATAAAAAAAAAAGTGTCGTTAAATTTGACTTCAACACCGGTCCATGAAGGTACACTGCCCTTGATATTTTCGGTTTGTTTTCATAACGTTGAGAAAAGCTGTTTGTTTGAAAGATGTTTGCCACTTAAACCAGCAAATTAATAAATACTTTCGTGGCTTATGGCCTCCTTGATTAAATATTTGGATATAATTATAAAGCTATGCATATTTCAATTTCGTTGGATAAATTCAGATTAGGTGGCCAACAAATATTACTTTCTTTTTGAAAACAGATACATTTATGATTTTATGAGCTATAAGTGTCAATTTGATCATCAAATGTTATTGACATCAGACCCCTACCATGCAAGTACAATACAATGCAATTCTGACATTTGACAAGGTCAATGACTATTTGTTAAAGCCAGGCATATGTAACTGGCACATGTACATACAAAACCAA